GAAGTGCTACCATATTCAGATAATCCGGATATAACGCCATTCCTTCATCACTAAGTTTAAGTTGAAGCTGTCGCTTTTTATCTTCAAGATGATTTCGTTCAAATACAGGTCTAAATTGTTCTTCAAAGTTTGGTATTTCTATACATTTCATGTCGTTCAGATTAGCTTTTAATTTGTTTTTATGTTGTATTCTTAATTGAAAATCATTTTTCGATGAGGGCTCGATATATGGTTGTAGAATGCGAACGTTAGTAGAAGCATTAAATGATAAAGAAGTCAATTCTTGAACCGCTGTCTGACACGTTTGTCCCGGTGGATCATTTCTGAAAAGAAGAAATGATCGATAATTAAATTAAATCAAGAATTTTTACTATTTCGTTATATTATTTCTTACTTGAATCGTGAGATTTGCCTCTTTTCCCAATCATTCAATACTAAAGAGCAATCAATTTTTATCTGACAATTAGTTATCTTTAATATATGCCATGGAAACAGAGTCAAAACTTCGTGTGACGGATTAATACTTGGTATAAATATCTCCTTTTTCGTTAGGCTAATAATCTCGCACCATTTCTCGAATATCTGAGGAGTTTTAAAATCAGTAGTTTCGGAAGTGGATACATTCGCGTCCTTAAGTATCAAGACTTTGTACTGAGCAGAGCTTTTGTGATGTAAAACTTGCAATAACAGAGCTAATTTATTGTAATGATCCGCGTACGATATTAACAAAACTCTGCCCCCGATTAAACTTTTCGCTGCTTTCTTTGAGGTGAGCAAATAAGGATTCAGGAATTTAACATCTTCTAAATAATCGACCGCTTGGTGATAGAACGTAGAGAGTTTTTTTTGGATTTCGGTCAAAGGCGGCAAATTCGATAATTCGCGTTCGATTTTTCGTAACTCGTTGTTATATGACGCTTCTTGCGAGGCCAACGGCGATTCCTTGAAAGATTTGCGCATCATTGCTTCAACGGTAACGGATTCGTTCACTCTTCTCAGATTAAGAAGCATGGAGTACGTGACTTTAAATTTCGATTCCAATGTCTGCGGTTCACCGCACATCATAGGTTTCAAGTCATTAAAGTGCGGCACGTCATGTCTGCACATCACTATAACAGTACCCGTAGTGTCGTGACCTCGTCGTCCAGCACGGCCAGCCATTTGTATATATTCAGTTGGAAATAGAGTACGAAAGTTGTTTCCGTCATATTTTCGTATGGAATCAAACACCACTGTGCGCGCCGGCATGTTAACTCCCATGGCAAAAGTTTCTGTCGCGAACAGTAACTAAAAATGCAGTAAAATGCAATTCCATTACACCTTTTTAATTTTTATATATTTTCAAAATTAGAAAGTTATGAAGCTTTTAAAAAAAAAGTGCTTTATTCTGTTATTTTTCAATGTTTCTTTGGAAAATTACCTTGACAACTCCACTTTGAAATAACATTTCTACGATCTCTCTCAAAATTGGTAATATCCCACTGTGATGTATACCCACACCCTTTTCCAAGAGCTCTTGCATCATAAGTACTTGTGGTAATTCTCTGTCGCTACCCTTTAGGTGTTTTATGTTATGTTGGAAAAATACATGTACTTGATGCTTTTCTCTCGCGGTCGTTAAATCGAGATTTCTGAACGTGACAGCATTCATATCACAACGTTTCCTCGATAGAGTAAATACAACAACGGGTAACATGTCCTATAAAATTGATAGCATTATATAATATACATTATAAATAATTATAATTTCTCTAGAATAAAAAATAGTATGTAGGTACAACAACGTACATTGTTCTGAAGGTGGCTTACAAATGCTCTCCATAATACTTCTTCTTGTTTCGGCGTCATCTGAATTTTTCTCCTACAGTCCTTTGATGTTTTGTCTTTCTTTTTATCGGATGCATTTGTCGCTTTGTACCATCTAAAGTATTAAATATTAGGTGTTGGAATTAATTCGTAGCGTTTTTAATGAAAGAATGTTATTTATTTCACATGAGCATTAAAAAATACATTAATGAAAGTACTTCCCATCACTTGTAAAACGCTACGAATTAATTCCAACACCTAATATTATTGAAATGTTACTGTCATTTATCATGCCTCTGTTTCTTTTAATTAAAGTCATATTTACCCATCCAATAAAAATTGGCTGTTGCTGTCAAGAACTAAGAACTTATCATCCTTAGTCTTGCCATCAGTGCCAGTATACAAGTAATGTAACAGAGGTATTGGTCTTTTCAAAGTGCTAATCACATACATTTTTCGCTTTTTAATGCGACCAACCCAATCCGCGAATATTATTGGATTTGGTACAGTCGCAGATAACATTACTATATTAATATTCTGTGGTAAAAGAATGACTATTTCTTCCCATACATGACCCCTCTAAAAATATGAAATATAATTTTTACAAATATAGAATTTTTATAAATATGTCGAATCATAGAAATCATACGTGATATTTTTATAAAATCAGCAGCATCATTACGCACATCTTCATTATTTATATAATGCACTTCATCAAATATGACGAACTCTAAATCTCGTAAAACATCGGATGCACAATACAACATTGATTGTAGGATCTCTGTTGTCATGATTAGACATGAAGCAGTTTGATTTATTTGCAAATCACCTGTTAATAACCCAACACTTTCAAATTTTCTCTTAAAATCACGATATTTCTGATTTGACAGAGCTTTTATGGGGGACGTATAAATCACTCTGAAAGAATATAAAAATAACTATTAGATACTTATATAATAGTATTGCAAAATTAATTGTTAGCTTTATAGTTTTACCTCGTCATATGCTTTTGACTCAATGAGTGTGTGCAGCAACGAAGACATTGCTGTTCTCTTCCAATTTAAGAATAGCTTGCTTTTGAAAAGTGTCTAGTTCATAACTAAATGTAATTGCTGGATCAGGTATTCTCTTGTTAAAATCTGTTACTGGTGCGGATACATCCAGCTGTTCTGCCCATTCTGCCTTTGTAAGTTCTGTTTGTGTCTCGGATATTTTCAAGACAGGTATATCTGTTTCTTTAGGTAAAATGGAATTGTCTATAAAGGGAATGTTGTTATCCACAGCTTGAACACTTTCTTTTTTCGGCTCTTCAATTGAAGGCCATGAACCAAGCAAATTTCCCTCCTCGTGTATACCAGCCATTAAATTTATATTATCATTATTGATTATTAACTTTTCAGTTTCTTCTAATATTGAAGCTTCTACTTCGTATCTCATACAATTGATTGGTGTACAATTGTCACTTTTAAATTCTAAACCTGAGCTAAATCCTTTAGCTAATGTCCTTAAATCCTTCTCAAAGTCAATATCATCCATGTCTTCACTTTTAGGCACTTTAGGTTCTTCAAAACCACCAGGCCAAAATGGAATATTGCTAGGATTACCTATGAAAAGTATATTTGGTATAATATATATTGCAATTATTTCTTGATATATTAGAATTTTAATTAAGAGAAATATTATTTTGAAATAAAATTAGAATACCTCGAACTCCATCTGTAAGTAATCCAGGGGCACGAGTCATAGACATAGAATTTCTTGCCGTTTCCCCTGCACCTTGTAAATCAATTTCTTGTATCTCACCAATCTTGCCTGTTATTGGATCACGGTCAAATTTAAGCGTAGTATTAACGGGAGCTAAATCAAATTCTAGCAAGGAAAGGACATCTGCTTTACGTGGCCAATAACATTGGGTATTGTCCAGTTGATGTATAGGTAATCGTTCAGGGCATTCAATATATTCTCGCAGTTCTGATCTAATATCAGGCCAAATGGGTGGAGGCCCAGCAAATAACTGTAAATCAATATATTTATAAATATATAAAATAATATAAGGAGTGACATATTTGATATTAAATGATAATTACCTGCGTCAATTCAGCCATTGTTAAATCTTTTTTGTTTATAACATATTTTAATATATTTAAAGAAAAATATGTTAATATATATTTTTTCTATGAATATATATTTAATATAAATGTTCTTTCTGCCGCAATACAAGCAACCACGACATAATTGACACGTTAAAATAATAATTTAACGCATTTAATCAATTATTAAGGAGTAATATGAATGTCACGTTTGTATGCATGTGTATTTAAATCTTGAAATAATGAAACACTAATTTTAAATGATTATACAGTTAATCTCTCTCTTGCTAACACTAACGAAATAGGTTATGGTATAATGTCCATCAGAAAAACAAATTAAGATAAATAAAGAGGGATCCGGAGGAATCTAAACAAACTCCCTTCTTAGAAAGAGAGAATAAAATGAATAGTTTTCAGTAACATACTGAATCTAGATACAGCTAAAACTAAAATGAGTTACATGACAAAGTGCAGGAATCGAGAATGCCACATTGAAACCTGTGCACGTGTATGTGTGTGTAATTTTGTGTGGTGTGCGTGTGTGTGTATAGACACATCTTCTATCCTTATATTTTATAAGTTTTTAACATTTTATAAATTGACTGATTATTTTTTTATTTAATCCACTGTTAATAGTTAATTAATTGTAATTGATAACTTGTTTTGTATACATTTACAAAATATTATTTATAAACTATAACTCTGCAAATTAAGCAAGATTTTCTTATTAGGAGGAATATTATTTACCTATATTTGTTTTATAAAGATATTTAACAATAATATTAACGCAAGCAAATGCAAAATAGACATTAAAATAGACTCTTCTTAAAATAAAAGAATATGCAAAAGTATAGTTCTACTTTAAATTCGCAAATGCTTTCCCAATAAGTCAGCAATCCAATTATAGACATCTATCATTAGTAATAAAGAATGTCGGAATGTCGGAAGCAAGATTAGACAGTAATGATAGGACAGTGATGTGACCTGCCTCAGTACTTAATTAATCATAAGTAAAATAAAAGTTGAAATTTTGTATAATGAGCTAAAAATTAACTATAGATCTTTACTAAAGTAATAGTCTTATAGGCATAATTATAAAATTTATTTACACGTCTAGTTGTTTTTAATAGTATTTCATCGATAATTCAACTTGATTACACAAAATTCACATGCAAACATTTACATTTCTTTTATATAAATATGCATATATACATATATACATATCGCTCATTCGCTAAAATATCACTTTTTAGTTGTTTGCCAAAAAAGAATGGAAATAATAAAAAAACATACTTTAAAGTATATACTTTTATTCTTTTATAATCAATCAAAATTGCATTTCAAAATTAATATTACAAAATTTTAATAATTCAAAGCTCATTCAAACTCATTTTCTGAAGAGGACTTTATTTTTTGAGTTGTGTCATTGTAACAAATGAGCGATATATTTCACTCTGTTTCTTCCACTCTCAATTTTGTTCTATCTTTGTGTTTATTCTTCTTCCGCAGTCTCTGAATATGCTTCTTCAGTTTTCCTGTATTTTTTAATTCTTCATACTGTGAAACTAAGTCCAAGACTTTCTTCTCAGCTGCAGAAAAAATAGATAAAATAAAATAATGTAAATCAGAATTATGTTAACAATAATCAACTTACATTTTTTCTTGAAGGCAGGCTTCTCTCCTCGTTTAACAGATTCCATCAGTTCCTTCTTCTCAAGCCATTTTTTTTCTTCTTTTTCCTTCTTTTTTCTTTCCTCTCGTAATTGATTTTCAAGCCTCTGAATGAGATATTTTATCTTCTTTATGGCTTTGAGATCTGTAGTTTCTTTCAGTTCTTTTTGCAAAGTTTTGAGATCATTTTCCCGTAGTTTGTTAATAAATGCATAAGAATTCTTAAAGGCCTTTTCATTAAATGTACCACATAAGCTATCAAATCTAGGATCTCGAGATACAACTTTCTTAACTCGTGTCATCTCTTCATATTTGATTGGAATTGGCTTTTTAGCAGACATTTCCCGTGGCCTGTTCTTATTTTCCCGTCTAAACTTTATTTTCTCTGCTTTTTTCTTATTTTTCTTACCAAACAGAGTTTCATTGTACACTTTGGTTCCTAATTTCTCCTTTAACTTCTGTAAATTCTCAAAACTCATATGTTTCAATTCCTCTCTTATTTGTTCCTAAAACATAACATAATCTAGAGCATATGATTACATACAGATATACAAGCTCTCCTTGTAATATCTTGGATAAAATCAATTCAAATAAGCATACAAAATAAAGAACTTACATGAGCTTTATTTTCTGTAAGTAGAGACTCATCCTCATCACTCATGTTGAATCTTAAGATACGATAGCGGAATATAAATTCAGTAATCTCTACAAAATGCAATGACACATTTTTAGGTTATACAACTGTTTTTTGTACCTGAGAAAAAACTAGAAAATTAGAAAAATATATTCATATAGTTTACATCACTTTCACTTAAGAAATGTATTAATCACATAAGATGTCTAAAAAGATAAATCATACATTATTAATTCTATCTATACGCCAAGTAAAAATTTACAGAATCTGACAGAACCCTGCACATGTAGGCATCGATTAGTCGATTAGCTCGCTACCTTGACCATTTCGATACCTAAGAATCTCGATACTTTGTAGGTGCGTTCCGTTTCACGCATAGTATTATATCATGATATTATATCATTTTTGGTGCGTTCGGGAAGATTATTAGCGCTACTTCTGTCATTAAGGACCGTTCCACACAAACTTGCATAGCCGCATATCTATATACATAAAGAAAATTATCCAGTCACATTTCTGTCATAAAGACAAATGTAAAATACGATTGGATGATTTTCTTTCTGTTGTTCGACTGTAACAGGGGAATGCTCGACTGTAGTTGGTTAGTTTTTACATTCTGATCCGGATTAAACCCTCGGTGGAAACTAGGCTTGTGTTTCAAATTCACTGCTAGTGCTGAAAGTGTATAGTACGTAATGTAAACTGTAAATTTTTAGTGTTGGCAGTGAATTTTGAACACAGTCAAAGATAATACGATACGTGGGGGCACTCGGGTGATGTTTTCAAACGTAGCCCTAAATAACGAAACGTCATTATTGTCATTATTGTGGGCGGGAGTGGTGTCTGACGGGAGCGGTGTCTGACGGGAGCACAAAATCTTCAAGATTTGTTCGCGTCGCATGCTCCAACATGCTCCAATACATTTCTGTTATAGTCCTTACTCTAACGCGCTTATCAGCATGAGTATAAGAACTATGTTGTAAGAGCATGTTGAAGCATGTTGAAACACGTTTTGGAGCACATTGGAGTATATTGAAATATGTTGGAACATGCGATGTAAACAAATTTTTGCATAACGTGTGTGCTATAATTGTGTTGATGCAAGTACAATTTGAAGAGAAGTGGTGACAATCTGTGAAGGAAGAAAAGAGGAGGAGGGGGCCTAGTAGGAGAGGCATCATGCATTGGTGGAGCAACTTTGGGGTAAGCGTTATTGCTTACTTGTGTAAAATTAGTTATTTTCTCTCGTTTATTCGAATTGTTTTATTACGAACTTATTTAAACATAATAATCAAAGAAAAAGAAATTATTTGAAATTTTATTTTTGTAAAGATCTTTTTTCGAAAAATATATAATTATTTGAAAAATAATATTTAATTGAAGAATGAATAAAAAGTTTGATATAAGAATTATCTTTTGAAGTTGATCATTTTGAACACTGTTTTAATTTGAATTTATGTTTTTGTGTTATAGTATCATCGTAGCTACGTGGCAGAAACTCCACCTGTTGCGTTTCAGATCGGTGAGGAACAAAAAAAATTGAATAATGGATCAGTGAAAATTGTATCCGATATAACTTTCATATTGACATATATCTGTATAATTATAATAGAAATGAATATAAAACTTTTCATGACTCTTTTATTATTTTAAAATGAATAAGCTACAAAGAATTGTGGCAGATATTTTTAATCTTGGACTATCTTTATTATATTATATTAATTTGGGGCGCTATTTGTGTTTAAAGTACATTTGTATAAGTAAACACATATATTTGAACTTACAGGAATAAATATATAATTATTTTGCAAACTGCAAGATAATTGCAACTTGCAAAAAAGTTTTTAAGATAGTAAATTTTGTTAAATAGTTGAACAATTATATATTTATTAAAGTCGAGTCATATAGTTAATTATGAGAAAAGATTTTATTCTTTTTAATAAATATTTTTCCATCATTAATACATATATTAGTATTTTGACTTTATAATCTAATGATAATCAATTCTATTTAACTCCTTAACTATAATATTTTATAAATTCTTCAATATTATAAAGAAGAATTTTTTTTAATTATTCTTCATTTTCTCCATTTTGCATAATTATTCGTAGTGTTGTGAAGTACGAAAATACAGTCGATAAATACTGTAACATTAATAATAACTTAATATAATTCTTGATTTTTACCTTACAAAAATTTTATGTGCGTATATTATGTAATTGTTAACTATGTAATAATAATAACTTGTATCAGAATGATCATGTTGATATCTATTGAATAATATACTTAATATTAAATTATTATTAAATTAATATTAAATATTATTTAATGAAATTAATTTCGACAAATTGTAAACAAACAAGAAATTATGAAAGTTATAGAAATTTATTCCTAATAAGTATCACTAATTCATATAAAATACTTCCGTACACGGACGCATGCACATGCAAATATATTCACGAAATCGAAAATATTTTTGATAAGATTATAATTATAACATTATGTTTAAAATATTAATATAAAAAATAACGTGTAAATAAAATAATGTGAACAAAACTAGTACAAAGTTTGATAATACGTTTCATTTACGCGCATTAACATATATTCATTAGAAGTCTTTCATTAGAATGAGATTTATTGGAGAACATAAGTTATCTAAAAAAATGAAGTATGTAGAAATTGGTAATGTATAAGTACACGACTGCTTAATATAATTTTCTATGATTTTGAAATATATATATATATATATATATACTTTTCTTAAATGGCATTTAAAAATAAATTAGTTATTACTTATTAATTATCAGTTGAAGACTAATAATTTTAAAAATATTTGCCATATACAGAGTGTTTCAAAATTCGCGCCTATAAAGTACAACACGTAATACTTTATATTAAAAGAACTTTTTCCTTTTGCAAAATTGCATCTGACAAGTAGTTTTTGCAGGAGAACTGGTTGAAGCTAACAAATAAGCACAAAAATTATTTATTGGACGCAATTTTGTTAAAGGAAAAAGTTTTAATATAAAGTATCACATGTTGTACTTCACGGGCGCGAATTTTGAAATACCTTGTATATACAGCCAATGTAACTAATTATTACAAAAAAATAACTTGTTTTATCGGATTGCGAAGAATGATTTATCCAAATTATTGATGTGCATGGTCAAAGTCAAAATAATATTTAAACTCTTTCCTTACCGATGCATAGTAATTTAAAGATAATGTGGGCATAACGCATGGTATTGTGATAATTATTGGATTTTGAGCCTTGAGCATAATTATTTGTAGATATTTTCGTAGAGCGACTGGTTGCTTGTACCACTGCATATCGAAAGCAGCTTGTTGAATTATCTCACCGGTCTTGCAAAAATATCAAATGATAATATTATAATTGAAATAAAGTAATTTTTTTTATAAGAGTTACTTACTATGTGAATCAAATGTTCTGCTGGCCATGTATACATAAATACTTCTGATAATCCACTAAAAGTAAGACCAACGCATTGAATTTTTATTGATATCGGTTGACCCTATTAAAAAAATAATTTTATAAAGATATAAATCATTCATAAAAATATAAATTTTAATAATTATTTGAGATTGCGAATACATTAATTTTGATTATTTGAGTTCTTGGTGGCATAATTATTAATAAATGTACCACACGTGAAAAAAAAACTGTTTAGTATTAGTAACTATATACAGTTGACAATTGAAAATGACTGTAATTATAATTATTTAAATAATTTTTTATGATAATTTCAATCTATCTTTATGATTATAATAATTATAATTATACGTCATGTATACGTAAAAGTTATTAGGTGTTGGAATTAATTCGTAGCGTTTTACAAGTGATGGGAAGTACTTTCATTAATGTATTTTTTAATGCTCATGTGAAATAAATAACATTCTTTCATTAAAAAACGCTACGAATTAATTCCAACACCTAATATTATTACTAATATTGTAATCATAATCATAATTATAGTAATATGTAATTATAATTACAAATACCAAATACCAAATAGTTTTTCTTTCAGTGCAGATACTGTTCTGATCACAACTTGACAATATTTTAAGAAATAATTCTAGAAATTAATTAAAATACAAAATTTTAATATAAAAATGTTTAAAATAATTTATAAAATTAGCAAAAGTAATAATTAAAATAATTTATAAAATTAGCAAAAGTAATAATTAAAATGAATAATATTAACTATTGACATTGATAGATTTATAGAGTTTAAAGTTAAAATACTTTAGTCCATTCAAAAAACACAAATTTTGTTTTATTGGATAATTGATAAAGAATGAAATTGCGATTGGAAATATTTTTACATAATGTCTTTCTTATTAAACAATTAAAAATTAATAAGAAGTGGAAGATGAACTATTACATGCAGTTTTTACTGGCTTAGAATGACCAATTTTTTCATTGCTTATAATTCATAAGTTTATAGTAGTATAACATTCATTATTTTTATTATAAAATTTTTAGTCTTAATTAATTTCCAGAGAATATGCTATAATAATAATATGCGAAAAGAATATGCGAATAATAATAAATAACAAAGTATAAAAAGGAATAAACGTGAATGCGAAATTGAGAGAATTAATTTTTTTTCACACACTTTTAAAGTTACAAAACATATATACAATATTATTAATAATGTTATCATTAATAATATACTATAATACTCACAGTAATAAAAATGAGACCGATTATTATTATTAATGCAAAAGTACTAAGACTTATAGTTGTCAATGCAAAGGGGCGAACTATGGCAACCACTTCTTGTGCATATCTAAAATGGATGGATATATTGAATAATCTTATTACAATATCTTGATTTTATATAAATTTTTCTAAAAGTTTAGAAAATACAGTATAATAAAATCTTGTTGAGTAAATTTAGAAAAAATTAGTTTTTTAATAAGATGGTTGAAGATGATATATCTATATTATATCATAATATAGATATATCATTGATACTTAAAAGCGACATTTTTAACATTAAAATAACTGTGATATATTTCTAAAATTGGAAATCTTGTTCAGAGAGATATAATAGATTTACTTATGAAAATGTAAAAACTTTAAAATATAAAATTAAAATATGACTGTATTTGAAAAAAAATGTATTTAATAATATTGGTCCATAAATTTAATAATAATGGTCTATAAAAATATATGTTTGATAACATTATTATAATTATTTGTAATATATATTACTTTCTAAGTCAATTTATATTTGGTATGCTCGAATTTTATCGAACATTTTATTTTAAATTTGATCTCTATGATTGTTATAAAATGTTATAATAATAGGCTTGTTCTGTTTCTTTTTTCATATCCTAGGAATTTCTTGCACAGTTCATCTGTCTTTATCTTCTTTTCACTTAACTGCATCCATTACAAAAAGTAAAAACTATTGTAAAATTCTTTAATATAATTGGTTTATACATTTAGATTCAGTGTTAGAAACTAACAAGATGAATTATATTAAAAAAAATTTACAACAGTGCAAAGCTGCTTTTTCTGCTGAGCACAACCATTGGAGAGAAAAAGACAAAAAAATAAACCATGCAAAATATTCAGTTCTGGGATCTAGAAAAAGAACAGGCCTAATATAAATATTTTTAAATACTTACTGTAATAATCTTTGATGTTGTCGAATGCATTGAACTAAACCATGAACATTGGTGACTGTTCGTAACTCCTTGACTAATAATTCAAATCTCGCTGAGGTAGTCCAAAGCAGAAGAGCCATGAAAATATTTATACATAGCTGAGCAGAAGCTTGAAGACATACAAAAGACTGATGCATGAATATAATACTTTTTAATGGTTGCTGGTAAATAACGAATGGGTACTCGGCATTTGTTGGAAACGGTTGATCTAGCGTGATAGGTCCAGTGATGACGAAAACAGCACTTAAATAAAGCCAAAGCATAGAGCCACCGTAAAAGTAAACGCATTTGCTAATGTATTGCTGAATAGTTGCTTCTTCGTGAGGTTTAATTAATTGACAGAAATTTTCCATTTCGAAAGTTACCAGCTGAAATCGATTAGATCGGTATTATATATGCAAAATATACATGCAATAGCATGTCTCTTGAAATAAATTTTATTTTACATCCGATATTTCACTTTTAAAATTTCACTCTTACTAAATATATTTTATATTAATTACTTGCAGACGACGTGAATTAATTTTACAGCTTATGATATTGCAAACAACATGCACCATAGGACATATTATAATTATTGATTTTGCCATGATGAGAGGATCATTTAGATGGTTTTTAACCGTGTTCGTTAGCCCTACAATTAGACCTAAAGTTAAAATTAGACACAGATATTGGTATAGTTCCGCACAGATAATTTTAAGCTTAACTGTGTCTTTTGGAAGAGGCCAGCACCATGTTATGAACAAACTTAGCTTTATGATCGCAATCACCTTCTTTAATGTCAAGTTCTTCATGATCATATCACATACACATGTGCACGCGTTACGAGAAACGTATACGAAAAAATTCTTGCTCAGAAAAGAATTGCAGTATTACAATAAGTGAATGCACATAGAAGAAAATGTTACAAACGAAGTTCTAATGGACTTCCTCGAATATATTTCTACGATGTAATTCTTATAAAAGAAGAATGATATTATCTAGCAGATTTATATTCCACAAGTATCTGTAGAATTCTTACTATAAATTCTAAAAGAAGTATACACTTCTCGCAAGAGATGTATTAATTTAATATATACCTTGTGCATTGAATTCTTTCTTTTAAAAGCATAAAGGAATTTTCTTGAACACTATTATTTTTTATCATTATACATAATGTGATGAATACTAGGTTGAGAATGATTTATAAGTCATGGAATATGCAAGTGATTGAAGACCGTTGCTACACGCTATAGCAATTGTTTCTGATATTCGTCATACAATAAAATTTTCTGATGCAACCTTAGTTTTATCGAAATGCTTTAGAAATAAAGGTGGAAATAAACGCTACTTTATTGTGCTTGGAATTTCATGTTAAAATAGTTGAAATAGTAATACTATACTATTAGTAAAAAGTTTAACATTATCATCGTCTATTGATACACGTAGCCTTGTTTCAATTAACTTTCACTTTCGTTTTTGAAAAGAGGATCAATATATGTAGCCTACAGTAAATATCGTTTTAATTATTTTTAATTTTGTTTTTTTTTGTAACACTGAGTTATGACAATATGAATGAGGCAATTAAAGGGAAGATTATTGATTATGAAATTTTTCTTTATATTAATAATGATTGTAAAATCAATTTGTGAAAAAATTAATACTATTTAATATTACATTTGGGAAATAATATATGAAAATTGTTATTATAATGTATAATATTTCAAAAATTATAATTTATTTTCTATTTTTTTTATTCTCAGAGATTAATAACAAATAGTGACAATTGAAAATATATTGCAATAAAAACTAATATAACATTACATATTCTAAAGTGATATTTATTATTAATACTATAATAATAACAATTATGATTCAATTTACTGTTTTTGAATCAAATAATACCTGAAATAATAGTATATATTTCGGCAACTTTGCAACACAATATAGAAACATATAGTCCTTTTTCTGTCAACATTAATTGTTTAAAGCAAATATTTTGACTGCAACACATTGTGTTTGTATATTTAATCATCCATTATTACTCGTAGTGTTGTGAAATAAGAGAGTACAGTTGAAAGATACTGTAACATATGATAATAAATATATAGTTAAATTATTTATAAGATAGTTTTGTTAAAAGATCTACAACCTTGAATATTTTTTATTCTCTGCTTTTATATTATTTGCCATTTTTACATCCGTACTTTTCTCATTTTATAATTATTTGCATGACTACTTAACTATACACGAATTAAAAAAGTAATGCATAATAAAGTGGTGACGCAAATAAAAACAATGATGAACGCAAGAAGAGAAATGGCAAAGTAAGGAAAGTGAAGAATAAGGAGATTTGATTGTAATATTATTTATATTTTTAAATATAATATCAAAAAGAGAGATACATATAATATACATAGAATATATGATAACATTATGTAACAAAAATAATTTTTTTCGCACACGAAAAAATTGATCCTTGAAGATAGAGATGAAATCTAGTATCGAAATTTCATTTTGCGAAATTAAGTTATTTATAATGGAGTAAAAGTTTTTTTATATTTTTTAATATTTTGACACTTCATTATTGATGATTTTTAAATTTTCATTGTATCCGTTATTCTTTGTGCATTAATTTGATTGTATTTCTGCGTGATAGGTTTGAGGAAGGCTTTGTAAGCCGAAACGTTTATTAATTATATTAATTCAAAATTAATTTAATTAAAGCTCGAAATAAGTCATGACATTAATTTTTAAGTTATTTATGTTTTTTTACATCATTAAAGTTTAGTGGATGTAAGATGAAAATTTGTTTGAAAATCTATGTAAAATTTGTTGAATTTGAAAATGATAAAGTTAAAGTGATTGGAATAAAATAAAATATTGAAAAAAATGCATTTTTAGGACAAATTTTCGGCCTTTTTGTCGCCTTTTGTGAATATTATTAAAAAATGTAACAATTTTTTAAAAACATTTGAAAAATTTGAGCTATTCCTTTTTTTACAAAAAATGCATTTATTATTTTATTTTAATCGTTTTTTTAATTTTTCATTTTCGGATTTAGCGATCAATTTTACGTTTAAATGCATATTTTTCAAACAATTATAAAATATCAGATTGTACCACGGCTGAAATGATTTGTAAAATTCAAATGTACATAAAAAATAGCTCGATTTCGCGAAATGGAATATACTTTTATGCTAGGCATCAACTCTATTTTCACGAGCATATCAATTTTTTAATTATGTAAAAGTGACTCACAGTAATTATTTATAGTATTGCTCGTTGGATAAAATGGAAATAGAATTTTGGAAAAACGGATTGAATTTTTTTTTATTAATTATTGCAATTCTTGAACCATCTTAAAAATTAATCTTACCGATGTAAAGTAATTAAGAGATAATATAGGCAGAAGGCAAGGTATTGAAACTGTTACTGATTTTTGACTTCTCATTATAATAATTTGTAGACATTTCCATATTTTAATTAAATGATCGTTTTCGAGCATATTAAACGTTGCTTCTGCGACATCTTTGCTCTGGGTAATAAATATTTTTTTTTAATAAAATAAATTATAATATAACAAGTTTAAGTAATAAATATTTTACCATGTACATTAAATGTTCTGCTGGCCAAGTATACGTAAATACTTCTAATGTACCTATTATACTTATTCCGAAAAACTGGAATATCATCGTTGTAGATTGACGCTAAAAAAATTGATATATATATATAATTTTCATATTAAAGCTTCTACACTAAAATTTTTTTATGAAAAATTTTTTTATTAGGTGTTGGAATTAATTCGTAGCGTTTTTTAATGAAAGAATGTTATTTCACATGAGCATTAAAAAATACATTAATGAAAGTACTTCCCATCACTTGTAAAACGCTACGAATTAATTCCAATACCTAATATATTTTCCTTTTTGCATAAATATGAAGGATATAACGATAAAGATATACTTAAATTTAAAATACACAAGCATAATATTATATTGTTTAATATTAATGTACTTACTTTAATAACCAAAAGAAAGACTAATATTAAGCAAACCGTGCTACAACATATAGTTGAAAACGCAAAAGGACGAGCAGCGATTGTAACTTCCCTCGCGTATCTGATAAATGCATAACGCGTCAGAATTATTAAAATTTTTTTAACTAGATTATTTTTTGTATCAATAGTTGTGGTATTTACTTGAGTAATTCTTGATGTTTTTTAATACATTTGAAAAGTTGATAGACATTTGTAATCTTCCTCAGCTCTTCAATCAGAATTTCAAATCTTGCCGATGTAAACCACAGTAATAGAGCCATCAAAATATTCATGCATAATTGTCCTGCTATCATTATTGCCATCATGGATTGATGTATAAAAATTATTGTTTTTACCGGTTGATAAGATATATTAAATGGATATTTGATTATTACTGGAAATGGCTGATGCAATAAGACAGGAACTGCGATTGTTATAGGAAAATAGATAAAAAATAGACATATACTATGAAACATGATACATTTGTTAATGTACCGTTGGATCACAACTTCTTCATGTGGTTTCATTAAATCACAAAAATGTACCATTTCAAAAGTAACATTCTGCAAATAATTATTTGAAATAATTGTTATTTTAAATAATTGATATATTGTAATAATAAAACGTGAATCTTCTTAATTTGCATGTAGATTTTTTGCTTAAATATAGATTAGAAATTTAAATATAGATTTAGAAATTTAAATTAATAATTTGATATTAAATACAGTTAAATAATAAATATAGATGAATATTAATTACCTGTATGCGATGGTAATTAACTATCTCAAAGATAAAGTTAGCGATGGCGTGAGAAGTGCTGCTTAATACAAGGATTTGGTTTACTAAGGTGATAGGATCATCGAGATAATTTGTAATACCATATGTCAATGGTACCATTAGGCCCAGCCCTAAAATTATGCACAAATAATGATGCAGTTTTACACAGAATATTTTAAATTTTGTCGTATCTTGTGGCAGGGGCCAACCCCAAACTGGAAACAAACTTAACTTCACGACGGAAATTACTTCTTTTAGCATCACTTTTCTTCGCATGACTGTAGTATGTTTCGTATATCGTACTGCAAGTTGATATTATGAGAAATAAAAGTTCTTTCGCGAGCCGTTACGTAATGAATACGCTCCACGTATTTGCAAGTATGTATTATAATGAAAGGGTGCAGCAAAGGGGAGTTATTGGACGAGAATATGCATTCTTGCGTTTTTCTATTTTGCGTTATATACATAAATAAAATTATCATGACGCGTACAATGTATGTGAGAGACAAATAGCCCTGCGTGTTTAAATTCAATAAACGGTAACGTTCTCTGCTTACAAGAGCGTTAAAAAAATATGTATGTGTTATAAAATTTCTTTATATTTCCCAAAGATGTTACGTGTGTCTATGCATATTTTACATATTATAAGAAAAAGTAAAAAAGAAATTTAAAGGAAGATTTCTCTATGATATATCGGATACGTACGTTATGTATATTTACTCATATATTATGTATATTCACTTCGTAGCTATTGCAGAGAAACTATACATTATTTTAATTTGTCTGTTATTCTATATAACATTTTTATTTGTATGAAAATTGCAATAAGGTAGTTTTAACTTATAGAGTTTCAACGCGCAGTAGCATTCTTTATTGTATGCTACGTAATAATTTTATCGATGTATATCGTTTGCCATAGAAAGTAAACATATGTATAAAAAGTAACATTTGTTTCACTGAAATGCTACACAACAGTGTTAGAAATATGGTCTTCACGAAATCTTTATATGCAATTTTAAGAAAAAGGAAGATTTAACATTAAGAAAAATTGTTCTACATTAAGGAAATAGGTATGGTGGCAATATAGACTATAGGTAGATATAATAAATTTATTATAGGAATAATGTTGTCTTTCTTAAACTTTATTTTAAATTTTCGAAATTAAAAGGTTATGCTTTGAATTCATTTCGACAATAAATCGCTAGAATATAAATACTCTCGATTAATCATAAAATTTTTAACAATACCATCGGATATAAATTGAAATTACTACTAGACAAATTAATACTAGATTAATACTATGGCAATGTCTTATTGCTCAGATTTTCTACTCAATTTAATTTAATTGCCATTTAAACGATATGGCTTTAATACAATGTAGCTACGTATGTTTGATTTTTACTTTAATGGTTCTTAAACGTATTAAAAGAAATTCCAAATTTTGCAAAATGTGTATTATAATCTACGTCTTTGAAACTTTTAAAACTGTTTTGAATATTTATATAGAAAATCTTTCTTATATTTCAAAAGTTCAAATAGTTTTTAAATAAAAATTAAAATTTCTCATATTAGGGTTAAAATTAAATAAAATTGTAATTAGATACATTTCAAAATTATTACAATAATATATAATTTGAATTAAAAAAACTCAATATATTCTTTCGTATTTCTATAGACAAACATTTTGCATAAATCAAGGTTATTTCGTTCCAAGAAATTTCTTCTTTGAAGTTATCTCTGGCGAAAATAAAAATCGGAGCAAGTTGAAGAGGAGAATAACAGCAGAAAATTGAAATAACGAAATGTAAAGAAAAAAGAAAGCGTAAAGGTTTTTTTACGTTTCGTTGTTTCGATTTTCGTTTCTTAGGAACTCTATTTATGCCTCTAATACTGTTCCTTATTGACTTATATATTCAACTTGTTGGCTCCGATTTTTATTTTTGTCTAAGATTTTTTCAGGAGGAATTTTTATTATAATGTTTAATTTTTACAGAATTATATTTTCTATTTCTCTTATTTTTAGAGATTAATAACAAGTAGTAGTATTTGAAAATATATGGGTGAATAGCGTATAAATTTTTTTTATAAATTTTGAAGTAAAATATTTATTAATAATGCTGTAATAATAACTCACTCTAATTCAGTTTACTATTATTTTTGAATTTAAAAATCTAATTTTTTTTTAGAGAAAGAGAGAGAGAGAGAGAGAGAGAGAGAGAGAGAGAGAGAAGTGGTAATAGTAGTAGTAGTAGTAGTAGTAATAGTAATAGTAGTTATATTTCAGTAACTATACGATTATAAAAACTTACAATATTATACAATTGTACTAATAGAATTATAAAAATTTTGCAAACATCAAAAGCATTTTAACTGTGTTTGTATATTTAATTGTTATCATTGTCCATCATTACTCGCAGTGAAGTGAAATAGGAGAGTATAGTTGAAAGATACTGTAACACATAATAACAAATATTTTTTTATGTTAATGAAATAATAAATTTTTTACAATACATAAAAGATAATATTTATACATAAACACATGAAAAAATATTACACAAAAGATATTTATATATATAAATTTGAAATAATAATTAAAAATTAAAAAAAATTTTTAAGTTATTGTATACAGAGTGTTTGGAAATTAATGATAAATCTTTCGCATAGGAACAGAATGGACTAAATTGAGAAGAAAAGTGCTCCATTTTACAATTGTCGCAATAGTTAAAACAAATTAGCAAAAAATTAACAACAAAAAAGCACTAAATTTCTGTGCAACTTTTATTCGATTGTGCTGAAATGGCTGTGTCAGCTTAATAGACGTACACCATTTTTAGGGCATGGCCAGACTTTGATTTTCTAGGGACTCTAGGAGGCACGCTCAGCGCGGGGCGGATACTATCCTGTCGCATGTTTGCATTTGGCGGTGGGCTGAGCGAATTTTGTTATTTTCATAAGTTATTAACTCGTTAACCATTGCGACAATTGTAAAATGGTAGAGGAATTTTCTTCTCAATTTAGTCCATTCTGCCCCTGTGCGAAAGATCATTAATTTCCAAACATCCTATATTAATGTTAACAAAAAATTGTATAAAGATGTATGTATATGTATGTATAGAATAATTAACATTTTAAGCAACAATATTATATGGACATCTAAACCAAATTCCGCAAATGTCTTTCGTACGTATGTCATCCAAAGACATTTAATAGACGTCGTTAGTATCGTTCAATCCCGAATGGCACAGATAATTCGAAAATTATTCATCTTTTTTGATCTATAAGTTATTGGAAACAAAGAAAAGAATACTGAATAATTATTGGACTACAAGATGAAAGTATATAAAGTTGTATAATAGTTGTTAATCTTCGGATCTTTCTGACAATGTTTGTTTGCTTACTACTTGAAAATTGAACATATTAGCAATGTATCTTGGACATCTTTAAAATATCTATGTAAATAATTGATTATCTTGGGACGTATCTTAGACATTTAACATATAGCGACATAAATGGGACATACTTTGGACGTCCAAAGATGTCCAAGGACGTCGAATTGTTACTTGGGATAAATAATTGGGATACATAAATTGAAATATGAGTAAACTTTAATTATTTTTTTAAACCAATTTGCAACTTGATCTTACCGATGTAAAATAATTAAGGGACAATATGGGCAGAAAGCAAGGTATTGAAACCGTTACTGGTTTTTGACTTCTCATTATAATAATTTGTAGACATTTCCACATTTTAATTAAATGATTGTTTTCGAGCATATGAAATGCTGTTTCTGCGACATATTTGCTCTAGGTAATAAACATATAAAAGTAATAAACATTTTGTATAATAAAATGAATTATAATATAACAGATTTAAATAATTAGTTATTTACCGTATACATCAAATGTTCTGCTGGCCATGTATACATAAATACTTCTGATATACCTATTATACTCATTCCAAAAAACTGGAATATTAACAATATAGGTTGATGCTATTTAAAAGAAATTGATGTACGTGTTATTTCCATATATTGATGTTTTTACCAAAATTCTTTTATGTAATTAAAATTACTTTTTTTTTTTTTGCATAAATTCATGAAGGATATAATGATGAAAGAAGGGTTGGAAAATCATCGTATTGTTAAGTAGTGTGTAGTTGTTGTGTAGTAAAGGATTACATATTGATAGTTTGTTCGGGTCCTAGCTTAATTTGCACTTTTACAAGTATATGAAAATTCTTAGGTAATATTTATATCTATATTCTTGGAAAATAATAATAAATCTTTTGCATAAGGACAGAATGGACTAAACTGAGAAGAAAGGTCCTCTACTATTTTATGATTTTAGCAATAGTTAATAAGATATTAATTGCTAAAAATTATAGAAGATTTGTTTTCAATAATTTTTGGCTCAAATACTATCAACTTTACAGAAAAATTGTAAGAGACAAAAATTGTTTATTTTCTTCTCATAAAGTTCTGAAAATTTTTTCAGAATATTTTAATACCGTATTTTCTGATATTGGTAAAAATAAAAAAATGTCCTAAAATGTTGATAAAAAATTCTGAAAAAATTCTTAGAGTTCTATGAGAAGATTTATCTCTTGCAGTTTTTCTATAAAGTTGAGAGTATTTGAATAAAAAATTATTGAAGATCAATTTTCGCTAATTTTTTTAGCAATTAATATCTTATTAATTATTGCTAAAATCATAAAATGGTAGAGGATTTTTCTTCTCAGTTTAGTCCATCCTGCCTGCGAAAGATTTATCATTACTTTTCAAACACTCTGTATATACTGTACATCTTTATATATATGTATACATATAAAGCATGTAAAATTATATATGGTGTCCGGTAAAGACCGTAACAACGTTTAAAGGTAAATTCCCGAGATCATTTTGAAACGAAAATCTTAGTCGAAAATCCAAACTGTCGAGGCTAATTTTTTGTAAGTTTTTGAATTATAAGCATTTAAAGTTAGCGAATCATATTAGTTAAAATTCGTACAGATGTGGAGGATAAACGTCAACGTAAAATGCTAATCACACCTATATAAATGCGCATTTTAGGCGATATATTCGCTGATTTAAATGCTTATAATTTAAGAACTATTATAGCTTCGACATTTTGGATTAAGATTTTTATTTCAATATGATTTCGAGAATTTATGTTTAAATACCATTATGGTCTTTATCAGATACATCCTATATTTAGTCTTTATCAGATAAATCCTGTATTTAAAAAAATTGTATATAAATGTTACAACAATTATAGCCGATAAAATGGGAGAAATAGCTTTTTCATATTAAAATTTAGAGCTCTAAAAATAATTTAGAGAAAAATATATTTCATATTTTTAAAATTGACATTCCAAAGAAAAAAGGAAATTTTAGTGTGGACTGTCCAAAAAATTGAGCTATTCGTTAACTTGGTCTGCGTTCCGATATTCACTACTAGTGTTGAAAAGCTATAGTGCACATTATTACGTATACTATATATTTTCAATACTGGCAGTGAATATCGGAACGCAACCTTAAAAATTTTTTTAATACGCATAGATGGGTATAACTAGAAGGTATATTGCATTTAAATTTTAAACAATGCATTTTATTATCTGGAGACACTGATAGTGTCTCGGCGTTAAGGTGCGCGCAGCGATACTACCGTGGCTACTTTACGTGAGCCGGTGAGTTGCCAGGGATAGATATGACGTTAAAAAACAATTAAAAGAGTATTATTTATAACATTTTAAAATATTATTTGTAGCCTTTAATGCAGATATGATAGCAATGCTCGATATATTAGCACAAAATTATTGTTTAAATTTCAATTTTTTTAAAAACTTGTTTGAAATTCTTGCAATATAAATTAGAATTAAGTATATTAATTAGAATTAGTTGAAAATAAATAAAAAAAATTTCTCAGCTACAGATAAGTTCTCTTCTATACACAATGGATTATTCATTAAAGGTGAACATCCGAATCACCTTTATTGAAGGGTATGTAGGTAACGCATTAAACCTGTCAAATTTTTTTTAGGGAAAGGATTATTATAGAAACTATTATTTAGCTAGGTGTTCTTAGTGGCTGTTCCAAAATTCACTGCCAGTGCTGAAAATATATAGTATATGTAAACTGTAGATTTTCAGCGCTGGAATTTTGGAACACAATCAGTATTTCGAAGAAAATAAATGCAGAGCAAATGAATAACTCAATCGTGTGTATTAAGATGATTTTAAATTTTTAAGCATGTTGGATGATCATAATACTTATTATGTATTTATATGCATAAATTTAAGAAAAGAATTATACGTAATGTGTAATATAATGTTTCATGTACTTACACTAATGAACAAAAGAAATATTACTATTAAGCCAACCGAGCTACAACATATAGTTATAAATGCGAAAGGACCAACACAAATTGTAACTTCCTTTGCGTACCTGAATAAATGCATTACGTTAGGATTATTTAAAACTTTTGAACTAGATTATTTTTACGTAAGACAATCACTATGGCATTTACTTGAGTAATTTTTGATGTTTTTTAATACATTTGAACAACTGATAGACATTTGTAGTTTTTTCTAATTCTTTAGTCAGCATCTCAAATCTTGCTGATGCAAACCACAGCAACAGAGCCATGTAAACATTTACGCATAGTTGTCCTGCTACTATTATTCCGGCGATAGATTGTTGTATGAAAATTATTGCTTTTAACGGTTGATAAGATACATCAAATGGATATTCGGCAGCTGTTGGAAATGGTTGATGCTCTAAAGTAGGCATCACTGTGATAGCTGTGAACGTAAGCCAGTAGAAAATAAATATAGATGTACCATGAAATATAATACATTTGTCAATGTATCGTTGAATCACAATTTCTTCATGTAATTTCATCAAATCGCAAAACTGTATCATTTCGAAAGTAACATTCTGTAAGTAATTACTTGAAATAATTGTTACTAATATATAAAAATAAGTAATCAAACGTGAATTTTTATTTAATTTGGATGAATTTTTTAATATTAAATAGATAAGTGTTGATTACCTGTATATGATGATAATTAATTATATGAACAATAAAATTAAACATAGCGTGAACAACGCTACTTAACATAAGAACTTGTTTTGTTAAGACAACAGGATTGTCAAGATTATTTGTTATACCATATATTAATGGTACCTGTAGACCTATTACTATAATTATGCCCAAATAATGATGCAGTTTCACACAGAACATTTTCAATTTTGTTGCATTATGTGGTTCAGGCCAACTCCAAACTAGGAACAAACTTAATTTTACTATAGAGATCACTTCTTTTAACGTTACCTTTCTTCGCATGACTGAGGTATGCTAGGTATGTTATATTGCAAATTGATATTACAGGGAATAAAACTTCTTCCGCGAGCAGTTATGTAATGAATACGCTCCACATGCATTTGCAAGTATTTATTATAATGAAAGGGTGTAGTAAAGGGGAGTTACTGTACGAGAACATATATTCTTGCATTTTCCATTTCGTATGGGGTATACATAAATAAAATTATCATGATGCTAATGATACATGTGAGAGACGAATAGTTCTGCGTGTTTAAATTTAATAAGTTATAATGTATATTCACTGTTTGTAAAAAACGTAAAGGTATATGCATGCATAGTAAGATTTCTTCATAATTTCACGAAAATGTTCGAGAAATTATGAACGCATCTAACATGTTCATGTATATTTTAGATATAAGAAAGTAAGAAATGAATTTAAAAAAGATTTCTCTCTATGAGATTCTAAAGCCTATTCTACAACGTGCTCTTTGTTTCTTATTTCTTGCTTTTTGCCTTTTGCTTTTTTCCCTTTGCAATCGTTTTATCGACAATTGCTACGTGTTTTCTATTTCTTCTGAAGTTCGTTAACTTTTATCTCGGGTGACATAAAACAAAAAATCGGATAAAAAATAAAAAGACAAGATTTAAAAAATAGCAGAAAACAGAAAACAAAAAGCACATTGTAAAATAACCCATATATACTATCTATTTTCCTCAAATATTCCTTTAAATATTGGAGAGAAACATACATTATTTTATAATTTGTCTATTATTCCATTATATATAACATACTTTTATATTTCTGTATGAATTATAGTAAAGCAATTTTAACTTATAGACTTTCAACACGCAATAGCTTCTTCATTGTATTCTACCTAATAATTTTATTGATGCATGTCCTGTCTACGATAGGAAATAAGTGTGCAGGAAGTAACATATGTTTCATTGAAATGCTACACAACGATGTTAGAAATATGGTCTTCACGCTCATGCAATCTGTGTATGTAATTGTGAGAAAAGGAAAGATTTTGTTCCACATGTTCCACATGAAAGAAATAGGTGGGAACAGTGCAATAGGTATAGCAAATCTATTTTGGAGATAATGTTGCGTTTCTTTAACTTTACATTGGAGTTTTGAGACTAAGTTACGCTTAGTTATTCGCAAAAACATATTCGAGAAAGTTAGTATCGATAAGGGAAGGTAGGGCAATGAACCATTAGATTTTAAATATATGCGGTTTCGCATTTGCCATTATTTGATGTGCATGTTTGGTGGTTGGTTCTATAAATTGGTCTTTTGAATAATTACTGCAGTGCATTAATGAAGTCAATGTTTTTTTTAAATAATGGAATCTGAATTATTTATTGGGATTGTTCATCATGACAAAATTTTGTAGCTCTCGATTACTGCGGGTGCGACATTTTTACGTACCTCTTCGATATATTTAGAACTGCGAGTGGTATTACGGTAATGTTGAGAAAGAGAGTATATATTCAGATACGGTAAAATTCAACTGGGTTAAGGGAAACGAAGGTTTTTTGCATCGAGAAATTTCGGTGATTAAGGAGTTTTAGCTGTAACAGAGAAAGATTAAGTTCTTCATGCTCCTTCAGTAGAAGGTTGAAATCTGAACATCTAGAGGAGCTGCTAATTTCAGTAACTGAAACTTTAAATATATATACAAAGTTCCATTAAAATAACCTGAATGGTTTTTGAAATTTTTGAAAAAATAAAATTTTTCTTTCAACTTTAGCATCCTGTATCTTTGAAATTATATAAATCGTTTCGATATATGAAGTATATACGAAGTTTTTGTCTGAATTTGTGGAATCATTCTTTAAAATCTTTTAGAATACTTAATATTTACCTGTATATGATTAAAGATCGCAAAGCATTTTTTTTATAGAAGCATATAGTGTTGAGAAATTAAAATTTTTAATAAATCAGGAACAGACATGATTATAGCTTGTACAGTTCGTTGAAGTTGAAACAAAATACTTATGTAATTTTTCGCAACTCGACGGTTTGATTATACAAGAATAATAGAGATTTTAGCAATCGTAGAATTCTGAAAAATAAATTTAAAAAATACATATTTTTATATTTTTAGGTTTGTGAAGTTGGCACCCTTAAATGCGAATTTTGACAAAATCTAAATCGCAATCGATTGTCCACGATTTGTCCACATTTGTCCATAAAAAATAATTTTTTCCACTTTTGTCCACTTTCCAAAAAAAAAAATTATAAATAAATAAAAAATTCTGGCATGTACTTTCTTTTAAATTACATATGGAATTCGATTGTCCATGTGTACGCATGTATCCATACATAAATGTCATTTGTCCACCTCGCAAATCTTATAAACAAATTAAAGTTAAAAAATTCAGTAGTGCAATCGTAAGTATGTTGATCTCTAAATTATGTACGGGATTCGATTGTCCAATCCCGTACATAATTTAAAAGAAAGTACTCATGGGGAGGAGAAAGTACTCATGCTAGAATTTTTTATTTATTTATAATTTTTTTTTCGCATTTAGGGGTGCCAACTTCACAAACCTATTTTATAGGTACCTATTTTTATAAGTAAAAATTATCTATTACAATTCAGTTTTAGATAATTATTTATATTTACTGTTCTCGTTAGATCAGCCGGCTAAGCGTAGAGAAGTATTTTTGTTTGTGCAGTCAATCACGGTTCGATTATATATTTAATTTTTACGAATGATGGAAATCGCTATTTAAAAAATATTTAAAGTATAGAAACGTTTTATTCTCTAATATGTAATTCTAATTTTTAATTTAAGCTATTTTTAAATACTGGAATTCTTATCAGCTTAAAGACAGTTCATTTTAATATTTATTTTTAAATAGTTATTAAATAGATCATTATATAACATGTTTGGTGCCGTGCATCTCTCGTGGATAGATGGAATGAATAAAATTGAATAACAAAGTCCTTTATCATTTTGTTAGTTTCTTAATCATTAATGAAAAATTTATTAGTAAAGTTCTGTGGCGAAGAAAAGACAGCCCAGCGTTACTGCATGCTGATTGCGGTTGCTATGTGTGCGGCGAAGTATTGGCAGGAGCGCATGTCTAGCAACCACCAATAATGCACAACGTTGAGTTGTATTTTACCAAAAAAGCGCAGATATACGTTCATTTGCAGATTGAAGGAGGTGTTCATGATATAATAAAATTAATGTTATGAAAAATTGATTTAGAAAGATGAAAAAGACAATTAATGCAATGACCTTAAAAAATTTTTTTATTTATGTTAATTAATATTTACTAATGTAAAAAAATAATAAGTATATCAGAATTTTTTGGTGCTAACAATACTACAAGATCTTCTATTATGCAAAATATAATACTATTGAAAAATAAAAATTAAAAGAATTTACATAGCTTTAAAATTTATTTCTTGAATCCATTGTTCTCCACAAATACCATTCGCAATGTCATTAAATAAGAAAAAGCTGTTGATACGTACTAAAATATATAAAATGATAGCTTTAGTTTATATTTTCTGGCTTTAGAATGAAAAATATGTACATAGCGATCAAATTTTACAAAAAATTTTTGTACATTTTCAGAAGCATTAATGATGACGTTTATGTTTAACAATTAAATTTCTTATATAAAAAATACATTGTTTAATTTCTAACATATAAAAAATATATTTTTCTCGTACGCACATAATAGTATGATTATTTAATTTAATAGTATTTGATATAATAGTATGAGACTATATGAAAAAAAAAATTGGAAATTTTAATAAAAGTAAAAAAAAATTTTTATTAAAAATTTTAATTAAATTTTTGTAATTTATCAAAATTTAATATTTTTAGAGTTTACATCAAATATTTCCAAAAGTTTTTATTGTTTGTAATGTGAAAAGTTATACTAAGGTAAAATATTAACTGTGTAAAAATTCTTTTAATTTCTAAAATCTTACCGATGCATAAAATTGTAACGATAAAGCTGGAAGGATAGAAACAGAGACGGTTGTTGGTGTTTGACTCCTTAGCAAGACAAAATTTAAATTTTTTTGAAAAATCTTGTCATGATTGTACCACAACGATTCGTAAATTGCTTGCGCAACATTGGTACTCTAATAAATAATATGCATATTTTAGTATAATAATATAGCCGAAACAATATAGTCAAAACACATAAAATCAAAATATTATATAATAAATAAATATGTGACGCAGGAAATTATCATTTTTTATTATAAAAAAGTAAAAATTTAATACAAACAATTTAACATATTATATTTTAAAAAAATTTAATTTTATATGTATATTTATTATACATATTTTATAATTATTTATTAACTATACTAATATTTGTATAAAAAAATAAATAAAAATTTTTAATATTTAAAAAAGAAATAAACAGTTTATTTTACTGAATGGGAAGCCAAATCGAGTGAAAGAAACAATTTAAATTTAACTTAATATAGATAATAATGGTCCATAACTTAATGATAAAATACACAGTTACAGTTATCTCTTTCGAATTATGCCGAATTATTTAAATGTAAACGCTAATGGAATCCAACTTACCGTATCTTTTAAATAATCGGATGGCCAAGTACATGCATAAACTTCCATAAGTGCAGATATACATAGAGCCATAAATTGTATTTTGTCCGTTAATGTACTTCGCTAGGTTTATAATAATATTAAGATAAATAAAATGTAAACACATTCATACATGTATTCTTTTTCTCCAGTAGAATTGTCGTTTCATCGCGAGCCGATAGTAAAAGGTATAAAATAAATTATACTTACGCTTACAATTGTTAGGCCACTAGCTACCATCGCCCACGTACAAATGATTATTAATGATAATATCACTGAACGAAAGGCGATTATTACTTCTTGAGCATATCTAAAATGATTTGTTTTCTAAAGCTGAAAAAATTACTATATACTCATTATTATATACTGAGAAGTGACAATGAAATTAATATCGAATCGACATCGATTTGATACTTTCGACGTTGAGTCGACATTGATTCGATGTCGATTCCATTATTATTTCTCACTTCTATATAGCGCGTGTACTTTTTTGTCTCACAATATTAACACTTTTTTTGCATTAAAAGTTACAAATAATGGTAAAAATTCAAATTAGGAAATCCTCCAATGATTTTGACTTTGACATATGTTGTCAAGATCATGACCCCTAGTGATCTCCAACAGATTTTAGCCGTCAGTTGCCTTTCGTTAAAAAGTTGTTAACAAAAGAAGTTTCGCTATATAAAACAAAAATTCTCTGCTTTAAAATAAAAAAAAGAAAGTCGCTTCGCGCAGAAAGTCGAAAAAAGGATGTAGAATATTGTATTTACATAGAAAAATATGTTGTCATAGAAAAATATCTTTAATTTAAAAAAGAAATACTTAAAGTACATATGAAGTAATAATAAATAAGAATAAGCGACTTTCTTTTTCTTATTTTAAAGCAGAGAATTTTTGTTTTATATAGCAGAAGTTTTTTTGCCTTACTGTTAATAACTATTTAAAGCAGGAAATTTATTTTAAAGCACAAAATTTTTGTTTTATATAGCAGAACTTTTTTTTGTCTCACGCTTAACTTTTTAAAACAGGCAATTTTTGTTTTAAGTTTATATGGCAGATAACAATTTTTTAACGAAAGGCGACCGACAGCTAAAACCTGTTGGAGGTCACTCAGGATCATGACCTTGACAACATATCTCAAGGTTAAGGTTATTGGGGGATGCTTCCCTAATCTGAATTTTTACTCAAATAATGATAGTAAATCGTAATAATGTTTATTGTTCCTTTTTTTAATGAAACTTTTTGTTCTTTTATTTAGTATCTATACATCTTATATCTTTACATCTTAATTTGAATCTTAAAATGATAAAAATGATTTACACATTATTACAAATTTTATATTTTCCTCAAAAACAATTTTATATTAATTAATTTTATTATTCTTATTTGGCAAAATTATGAAATTAAAAAAAATGTTGCTAATAAAATACGGAAAATATATGCTTGTAAGCTACATTTGGATAATTGGTTTTCAATTTTCGATCTCAAATTTTGTGAAGATATTGCTTTAAATGTACACATATTTATAAAGCAGTGATATTAAAAAAAATGATCCATTAGTTTGATTTCAAAAAACATGAAACGACGTTTAGCAAATTTGTCTTTTACGAAAAACATAACATAATTTTATTTTACATGATAATGTGTAAGTGATATAAGTGTAGAGAGTTTTATACAAAAAAAATATGATATGTTGGATCATGGCCAAAAAATATATGTTAAATAAAAATAATTATTTCTTTTATTATTAAGGGCTGCTAATTTTTATAAATGATGAAATGCATTTTTCTGTTACCTCAATAATTTCACATGTTGTCGTACACACACAGTGATGCCATAAATATCGGTGACCATACGAAATTGTTCTGACAAGATTTCAAAACGCGCTGCGGCAAACCATATGAGAAGACCGACAAAACTACCCATACAAACGATGGAGAAGCACTGCCAAATAACGATGAACTGATGCAAAAAGATAATAGTTTTTACTGGTTCATACTCCACGTCGAAAGGATACTTTGTATCTGTTGGGAAAATCTGATTGGCCGCTATGAATGGTTGTGTTGCTGTTATACTCGCACCGAGAAAAACTGCCGCTGTAAGGCTTACGTAAAATATCGCGCATCTATCGACGTACCGCTGGTAGAGCTTTTTCTCGTATGATTGCGCACACTTGATATTATGTTCCATTTCCGAAATCAAATACTGAAATTTAATTAATTTACGCAATACATAGGTTATACCTGCGCTATGAATAAATGAATAAAATCGATGATTGAATTAAGTATATGGTTTTCAAAATAGATAATGTAATTTTTTGTGAAGATAATCTTGCTTCGGATAAACAGAACAAATAAAAAAGTTAAATTTGCAAAATAGTATTTTCATAGCATTGATCAATAATATTAAAAGTAGCTATTTAATTTATTAATATCTATAGAATTGAATAAGAATAGAATTGAATATACTGAAAATGATTTATCGAAGGTTGGTCTCTGTGTTAATATTGCTTTAAATATATATAAATATCTTACTTGCAATCGGTCATATTGTAGTGCGCATTGTGTTATCTCCAGAGGGATTTGTATAAACGCGCCTAACAAACACCATAGCTTTGTTATCCTTGCTAGATTGTAATCATTACGATAAAGAGTGTATGCTGTAGGTACACTCAATACCACTGCATTTATACAGAGTAAAGTGCGTAAAATTTTGAAGCGTATTACTTGAAATTTACTAGCGTTCTTTGAAAGTGGCCACGCAAATGACAAAGCGACTATCACTTTTATAAACGCGATAGCAGTTTTTGGAGTTATTTTTATGGCCATAATTTTATCGAAGAATTTATCGAAAATATATTTAAAATCTATATTCGCTTATGATATTTTCTCGTGCTATGTCGATTCAAATAAAGTGATACAATCTTTTTTCTTCGCTTTATAATGCGTAAATATTTGATGTGTAATAGCGTAATCAAATCATATATTTTCCAATACATGCACAACACTGAGAAAGACTGTAATTTATACGTAGCACGATAGCTTACTTGACTACTGCAGGGGTGCTATGAATAGAACAGTTTTATGAAAGAAATTTTATATCACAAACGCAATGTATTTATAATACGAAAGGGAAGTACAGCAAAATTCCATCTATACGAAGTTGTTATACACGATAATAAAAATCTATTAAATTTTCAATACGCAATTTTATCTAGGAAATCATATAACATAAATTATCAGAAGCACGAAGAATACTTCAACAGTGTACATATCTTATCATCTTTTGAAGATGTACATGGTGCACTGTTAAATCTATAGTGTCAAATTTATAATCTAAGATGAGTCACCACTGCTCCTACTCAATTATATCATTATTTTATACTAAATCAATGGTTATATTTGTACAGTGTCAAATTTAATTATCGTTTTAGTATAAAATAACGATATATTTATAATAGTAGGAGCAGAGTCACTCCGATTCACATTAGATTAAATTTGACATTATAGATTTAACAGTGTGTGTAGACTTTATTAATATTAATGGTCTATAATAAATAAAAATTTAATAATCTCGTAAATTATATGTTTACATTCAACAATGTTTCTCTTAAGAATTCGAAACAGAGAATGCACGATAATGTTTGTATTAAACGCTTAGATATGTACTTATATTGCATTTATTTATATTTCTTTGGCAGAAGATTGCGTATGGAAATATCATATAACAAAAATTCTGAGAGGAGAAAAGGAAATAATAAATTATGCGAGTTGTGAGATGTATACACATTGGATTTTTTTGTAAAACGTACGTAAGTATGTTTTATATTTTTTGTAGTGACGTTGGCTAATCAATTAAAATGATTTCTTGCCCTAAAGATCGGAATACAGACCTTTTGCATAATGTATAATAAAGCATAAGGAAATCAACTACAACCGGAGCCTTTTATTTCATGGAAAGGCAGAAAACAGATTTTAATTGGTTTTTTTCCTTATGTATGCATCATATGTTATGCTCAATCCTTTATGGCCGTTTCTATCGAACTTCACGTTAGCAGATTTATTCAAAAAATTTCAAGATACATATTGAAAGTATCGTGTGATGCAGATTTCATGCTTCATTATTTGGACGTACAATTAAAATTATGATTTAAATTTGAACGCTTGTACATTGAAAAAAAAGATTGGCTGTTGCAACAAATTAGATAAAATATGGCATAGTATTTTTAATTGCCTATAGCAGCCAATTTTTTATTGCGTTAACCTATTCCCAATGTCAGTATAGGATTTTGATAGGCTTTCACAACCAAAAATTGGCTGCTGCAACCAATTAAAAATGCTATGCCATATTTTGCCATCTAATTTGCTGCAGCAGTCCAATCCTTTTTTTCAGTGTATACACATACATTTTAACTCATGTCTATAACAATAGAAAATATATGGACAATAACAAAATTATGTACAAAATTATTGTAAGGGATCAAGAATATAAACTCCGATACGCTTACGTTCAATGATTAAGTTTCGTATTTTTTTACTTACACATATAATAGTATAATTATTTTATTATACTGAAAAAAAATGGAAATAGCGTGTCATAATTATTTTATTATAGTGTGTATAATTATTTTATTATACTGAAAAAAAATGGAAATAGTGTGTCATACTTAAAATTTCTTCATATATGCAAATATGCTGAACAGTATTAATACTCTTGAAAAGGTGCAATTCGAGATATGATAAAATAAAATTGATTTTAATTAAAATCGATTTAGAAAAGATAAAAAGAAAATTAAGGCAACTAACTTAAGAAATTCTATTATTTTGAAATCTAATCTGTGGAAAGAGATATAAGAACACCAAATTTATGGTACAACAACAATAACAATATCTTCTATTATGCAAAATATATATAAAAATTATACATAAAGCTGAACATAAAGCTAAATTATATATCAAGACTATCTAGAGCTGAACATAAAGCTAAATTATATATCAAGACTAGCTAAAACGCGAGCCGAATCTCGAAGCTCGGCTCGAAGTTCGACTCGAGGTTTGCTTCGAGATTCGGCTCGCGTTTTGGCTCGATAGTCTGGATGCAGCTTTATACTATTGATGCGAACAAAAAATTAGAATAATTTTAAATTTAATTTTTGATTCCTCTGTCTTCTTCCATAAATATCATGCGTAACGTCATCAAATAAGAAAACGCTGTTGATACATACTAAAATACGTAGAATAGTAACATTAGTTTATATTTTCTGGCTTTAGTGCAAAAACTATAATATGGATAATAACAAAATTTAAAATAAAATTATCGTATAATCAAGAACATTATCACTAATATGCTTACTAATATGCTTTCAATGATTTATATATAATTTGTATAACATTAAAAAATTGCTTTTTTAAATGCTTGTACATACATAATAATGTGATTATTATAGTATGTCATACATAAAGTTCATATATGCAATAATAGATAATATTAATGTTCTTGACTTTGTTTATATATTCCTTATTTATATTTGAGAAAAAATAATTTTCTTATTATTTAGATAAATGTATATAAAGAAGTTTGTTTAGGTTAATATTACTATAATATTACTATAATTGTATAATTTGCATATACATTATTAAAAATGTTTTTTACCGAAAACTTAAATCAATTTTAATAAATGATTAATATTAATAAATGATTAATTTTGAACAACTACAAATACATTAAAAATTTAATTTTTATTAAAATATTCGTATATTTTACTTATTAGAATTTCATATTTTTAAGAAATTTCTACAAGAGAAACATAATATTTATAAAATTTTGATTTACTTGTAGTGTGGAAAATTATAGAATAAAATATTTATTGTATACAGGGTAATCCCGTAATTCGACGCTTGTGGACAGATAGAGCGAACTAAACTGAGTCAGCAATTTAACAAAAAAAGCAGCAAGAGAAAAATTGTTAATTTTTTTCTTATAAAGAGAATTTTTTCAGAATTTTTTTAGAATTTTTTAATACTGCATTTTCTCATGTTGATAAAAGTAAGAAAATGCAGTAAAAAAAGTTGATAAAAATTCTGAAAAAATTCTTAAAGTTCTATAATGAGAAGAAAATAAATGATTTTTATCTCTTGCAGTTCTTCTGTAAAGTTGATAGTATTTGAGAAAAAAATTATTGAAGACCAACATTCAGCAATTTTTAGTAATTAATATCTTGTTAACTATTGCGAAAATAGTACAGGACTTTTCGACTCAATTTAATCCGCTCTATCTGCCCATGTTGTCGGATGAATTACCTTGGGATACCTTGTATATAAAAAGATTTTTTTAATTTGTGAAATCTTACCGATGCATAATATTGTAATGATAAAGGTGGAAGGATAGAAACAGAGATGGTTGTTGGTGTTTGACTCCTTAATAAGATAAAATTTAAATTTTTTTGAAAAATCTTGTCTTGATTGTACCACAATGATTCATAAACTGCTTGCGCAACATTGGTGCTCTAACAAATAATATGCAATTATAGTTATCACACAAATTATGTTGATTTGATTATAAACGCCATTGGAAAACAACTTACCGTATCTATTAAACGATCGGCTGGCCAAGCACATGCATAAACTTCCATAAGTGCAGATATACATAGAGCCATAAATTGTATTTTGTCCGTTAAAGAACATTGCTATACAACAATACTGTTATAAAATATACTAAATGCATATAAACACATTCGTATGTATGATTCTTTTCTTCAGTAGAATTGTCATTTTATCGCTAGTAAAAGGTACTTACGCTTACAATTGTTAGACCACTAGCTACAATCGCCCACGTACAAATAATCATTATTGTTAATAACACTGACCGAAAGGCAATTATTATCTCTTGAGCGTATCTAAAATTATTTATTTGTTTTCTAAAGCTCATTTTTCGCGATAAAATTCGAAACATAATTCTATTAGGTGTTGGAATTAATTCGTAGCGTTTTTAATGAAAGAATGTTATTTATTTTACATGAGCATTAAAAAATACATTAATGAAAGTACTTCCCATCACTTGTAAAACGCTACGAATTAATTCCAACACCTAATATTTATAATTTTATGCATTGTGTAATACAGTAAACATGTGAATAATCCGAATTATAAGTTTATAACTATAATGTTCTGCTTTTACATATATAAAAGACGCCTCAATATGTAGGGTATAATTGTTCGTAATTAGTCAATTGTATTTGATATAATGAAAATTGAAAATTTATTAGTGTTGTGAACATGTTCAATCGGATATCAAATAAAAAAAATTTTGTCCCATGTTCCATCAAATTGCAACACTTCAAAGTAAGACAAAAATATTACAAAAAAATATCAATTTTTAATTTTATGTTTAAGAACAATATGTAGAAAAAAATTTAAAGCTCTGTTTTGGCGCTTTAAAGGCCAAAAACTTTTTCGAAATTTTTTTTTATTGAGATATTTAATTTTGAGAGGATCCCGTTTATTTACAAATCGATTGCTTACAGCATCATTTGTCTTACATCATTTTTGCCAGTTCATTTGCGCACAACAATTATTGCCTACAGCTCGATTGCCTACATGTACTATTCTGCTTTATAAACACAAATTCAGTCATAAATTTTCTGCTTTAGAAACACGAATTCTCTATATTAAAACAAATTCTTTAAAACATAAATTCTTTTGCTTTAAAAATATAAATTATTTTTTTACTTAATTTTAATTTTATATTTGTGCGCAAAAGTGCATAGATAATCGAGTCGTAGGTAATAATTTTTCTGCGTAAATGAATTGTCGGTATAAAAAGTGATATACGAAAATCACGCTCCCTAATAGTACAATTCATTGGCGCAACATTATCTCCAATGTATGCCAATGTTTAACCAATGTTTCGCCAATGAATTTTATTGCTACTTGGGCTGTAGGAAATCGATTTGTAGGCAAAAGAAGCTCTCTCTTTTTTTTTTTGTGAAATGCGACAAAAATATTAATGTCCAAATATTTATGAGAGCTAGTGTATATGTATATATTATGTCTAGACAGTATCTTAATTTTAATCTTAAAATTTAAAGCTATACAAATATTTGTATATGGCAAATTTTATATTTTATTTGGAAATGATTTTGTTCTTAAAAAAAATTAATTAATTAATTGATTTTATTCTTGGTAAAATCAATTATGAAATTTTTTAATTAAAAATTTTACTATTAAAATAATTAAAGTATGTGTATTTGCTTAAAAGAATAATTAAAATTATTAACTTTCATAAACTTTTCTAGAAACGAATAATAGTAGTATCTAGACAGCTTTACGTGAAAAACATGATGTGTTAAGTGCTAAACTATACTACCAAAAAATACACATTAAATAAAAATTATTTCTTTATAGTAACGGTTATCAATTTTTATAAATGATGAAATGCATTTTTTGTTACCTCAATAACTTTATATGTTGCCGTACACACACAGTGATGTCATAAATGTCGGTGACCATACGAAATTGTTGCAACAAGATTTCGAAACGCGCCGCGGCAAACCATATGAAAAGACTGACAAAACTACCGATACAAACAGTGGAGAAGCACTGCCAAACAGCGATGAACTGATGCACAAAGATAATAGTCTTTATTGGTTCGTGTTCCACGTTGAAAGGATACTTTGCTTCTGTCGGGAATATCTGATCGGCCGCAGTCAATGGCACGATTACTCCTATACCCGCACCAAGAAACACTGCCGCTGTGGAACTCACGTAAAACATTGCGCATCTATCAACGTACCGTTGGTAGATATTTTTTTCATATAGTTCCGCGCGTTCCAAAGTCCACTCCATTTCCGAAATCAAATACTGAAATTTAATTCGATTTTTTCAGCTGGCAATACGTAGTTTATATCCGGGCTGTGAATAAATGGATAAGTTGAATAATAAGCAGAATAATATTTTTATAATATTGATCAATAATATCAGAGCCAAATATTTTATTTATTGATATCTGTATAGAATTGAACAGTACAGATTGAAAATGGTTTATCGAAGGTCAGTCTCACATATGGATATGCATTTCTTACTTGCAATCGATCATATTGTAGTGCACATTGCGTCATCTCCACAGAGACTTGTATCATTGCACCCAACGTACACCATAGTTTCGTTATCCTTGGTAAATCATAATCATTACGATAAAGGGTGTACGCTATAGGTATACTCAATACCACTGTATTCATAGAGAGCAAAGAGCGTAAAATTTTGAAGCATGTTATTTGAAATTTACTAGCACTCTTTGAAAGTGGCCACGAAAAGGACAAAGCGATTATCACTTTTATAAACGCGATAGCATTTTTGGGGGTTGTTTTTATTGTCATAATTACATCGACGAGTTCATCGAAAATATAATGTAGCAATAATTTTAAAATTATATGCGTTTAAACGTCTTCTTGTGCTACGTTGTATCAAATAAAGTCAAATGTTAGAAAAATGAATTAGATTAGAAGCTTTTTTTTTCGTCAGTTTATAACATGGAAATATTTGATGTGTAATAGCATAATAAATTCATACATTTTTCAATGCGTGCCCAATGCTGAGGAAAAAATGACGTACACTATAATTTACATGTAGTGCATTTGAATATTCGATTGTTGTAGAGGTACTATGAATGTTTTATGAAAGAAATTTTGTATAAAATGTAGTGTATATGTAATATTAAAGGGAGGTAAATTCTTATACAATATTTATAATAAATTGCTACATTCGATAATAATATAGTATCAAACCTCTCAATGATTGCACGAGAGAGGTATTGAGATAAAGTTTCAATATACAATTGCATTTATGAAATCAATAATGTAAATTATTATAGAAGCACAAAGAAGAATATACTTTTATTGTATGTACATATCTCATCATCTTTTGAAGATGTATATATCGTTTGTATTTTATTACTCATAGTATTAATAGATTAATTAGTTTTTTATTCATTGAGAATATTGTATAACTATAGTGAATTCTTCTTTAGTTTAACTTATTCTAGTTGTCTACGAGAGATAGCACAATAATTATCAGGCATCGTATACATATACACGGAGAGATTTTTCTCTTACAAGGAAAGTTACTCAGATATTCAATTAGTTTTGAAAAAGTAGCGGTTAGAAGTTGTAGTATCTTATCTTCTATTAACTAAACTAAGTGCCATTTGTTCGGAAAATTTGATATTCGTTAGAAGAATGGAGTTAAAAAGTCTGCTATAAGTGGTTCCGAAAAAGGGTTTAAATGAAATTTTTTTATTTTTCCATTCCTCTAACGAATATAAACTTTTCCGAGCGAATGATATTCATTTTAATTAATGTAGGATATACTATAACTTCTAACTTTCTAACCGTTACTTTTTCAAAACTAATTGGATATCTAGCTTCCATTGTTAGTATTTATTCTTAAAATAGTAATTATATATAGTAATATATATATATATAGTAATCATAGAGGACATATTTTAAAAAATTTTATGTGATTCTTCCTGATTTGTCAATTTACTGAAAAGTACAATAAAATTTTAAAGTATATTAAATAGTTCATGATTCTTTATTATTTTAAATAGAACAAATGCTAA